CAAACCAAGTCTAGGCTCGTTCTGTCATGGGATTACCCACTGAAGACTCTGTCTCGGGGACGGACGTAGCCGGTCCTCGACGTTCCCGCCCGTGTGTGTGGTTTGTGAGGCACGTGCCACGTCAAGGACGTGCGTTGCTTATTCAAATAGCACACCGCCCCTGCATGCATATGCATGGGCCACACCCATGTACGGATGCCCTCCCCCCCTCGGGCGGTCTCTATATCGAGCACCCATCTGGTGGCCCCGGCGGTCTAGGGCATTGTTCGGCACCGAGAGGGTGTATTCCACGGTGAATAACTGCTTCTCTGTGTTAGTGCATGTCATCGCGAGATGACAGACCAAGTCTAGGCTCGTTCTTCGAGATAGTCTATGGGTATAGAGAGGGAATGTGTCCGGTTTGTGCAGGAAGTGCAGGTCCTGTTGCTCCGTTGGCCTCGAAACTTTTGTGCTCTCAAAGGAGGCATCACATGTATATGCATGGGCTATCCGGTGGCCCCGACGGTCTAGGAAGTTGACCGGCACCGAGAGAGGGGGTAGGCCACGGTCAACAACTACTTCTCGTGTTTATTACTTTACACTCTTTAAAGTTATCTATCGGTGCTGGTCTAGAAAGTTGACCGACACCGAGAGAGGGGGTAGGCCACGGTCAACAACTGCTTCTTCTCGTGTTTTTTACTTTACACTCTTTAAAGTTCTCTCTTGGTGCCGTTCTAGGAAGTTGGCCGGCCCCGAGAGAGGGGGTAGGCCACGGTCAACAACTGCCTCTTCTCATGTTTTTTACTTTACACTCTTTAAAGTTCTCTCTCAGTGCCGTTCTAGGAAGTTGGTCGGCACCGAGAGAGGGGGTAGGCCACGGTCAACAACTGCATATTCTCATGTTTTTTTACTTTACATTCTTTAAAGTTGAGTTTTGAACGAATCTAACCCAAAAAGCATATATATATATATATATATATATATATATATATATATGAGTGCATCAAAAGCCTTTTATCGAAAAAATTCATCAAAAGTCATGGAATTTCCAAACTTTGGTCGTAAAAGCATATGAAATATAAGATACAAAAAAGATAGTGCAAAACAAAAACAAAAAGAGAAGGGGGGGAAATTAGAGCAGTGGTTACCGAGGGTCAATTCTCGGCTCTCGGTAATGGCCACCTTTTCCGAGAGGCGCTCTCGGTAAAGCATCTAACCTAGATCTTAACCTTTCCCCTTTCTTTTGTATCTTCATTCCCCTCTCCTCTCTGTTCACCACCGCCGCCGCCGCCGCCAGCCCTCAACCGCCACTAACTACCGCCGCCACCCCTCCTCCACCGCCCCCAACTGCGTCCACCGCCCCCAACTGTTGCCGCCACGATGCTTCATGGCTGGTGGCCGACGTGGCGGCTCTTCCATGCGACCCAACGACGGCCGCCGTAGCGGAGCTCCTCCGGTAGCGCGGTAGCTGGAGATGCGCTCAGGTGTGTACACCCGTCCCATTGAAAACATATGCAAATTTTGTTGAAGAAGATGAGAATTGGGAAAATTCAGTTCATAGGTGCTCCACTAGGGGCTAGTAATTCAGTTCATAGGGTATTTTTAGGTGCTCCACTAGGTCCGTGCTGATCTAGTTCTAGGTATTTTTAGGTGCTCCACTAGGATGTTTGAGTTGCACATGTTTTTTTGCTTTCATTTTGAAAATGACCCCCTCTTGGATGCTTGTCACGCTCCGCCACTGCCACTAGGGTCTAGTAATTGCAAGTAGGCACCATCTTGCTGAGGAATTTAATACCATGGCAAAACTGGCTACAAAACAACCAAACCTGAATTTGTGGGTCGAGTTCATCATAATATGCTGCTGTATACTACTGTAATGTACAATTTTCAGCCTATTTTTCATGTTTTTGAGGAGTTGATATTGTCCAGTGCATGATAATATGCTCATGTTGCTTATGTATATTTTCAGCTATTGTAATGTATAGTTTTCCGCCTATTTTTTCATATATTTGAACAGTTCATATTGTCCGGTGCATGATAATATGCTCCTGTTGCCTATGTACTCTTTTCAGTCAATTTTTCATGTATTTTGGACAAGTGGTATGGTTAATATTCACCATATATATATATTGTTTTTCAGATTCTGATGGGAGCACTGGTAGTAAGTACCAGAGAGTCCCGACTGGTACGACCGAGTCGTCCACCTCCCATCAGGCCGCAACCAAGGCATCGTCATCATCGGATGGCGATATCGGAATGGACTTAGATGCACCAGATCCGCTCGCTACTGAGTCGGGCGACATGGACCTCGGACGGCTCGGGGTATACCTCGAGCAACACTTCCAAGAGGAAGAAATCCAGGCGTGGTCCGGGGAAGGTCCTGGAACCAACTGCTGCCAGCAACCGTCCTGTCATTTGCCCGACAGGAGAGGGGTAAGCAAGCATTTCATTTGCATCATATTTTGGATGCCACAGCTTTGACACTCACATATGGTTGTTTTTTATATCATGTAGTCAGTGGGAATTTATCCCGACACAACCTAAGGAGGCACGCCCGCCGAACCACGTCATCGGCTCCCTCTTGAGGAAGCACTTCCCTGGATTGTCCAAGACGGGTGATGACGATCCGCCGTCGCCAGGTTTAACCTGGGAGCATTACGTACACAACAAGGATGGGCACGATGTCACCATGGCCACTCGGGTCATCAATACTTTTTTTGTAAGTATCTTCGCTCCGACCACTGCATTTTTTCATATCCAAATCCTTGCTTGCGTGGATGGTGAGAAGATGCCATATGCTTTCTTGTAGGAAACATTTGCTTGCGTGGATGGTGAGCAGCAGAAGGCGATCAAAGGCATCGTGAAATCTGCCCGAAAGATACTCTCTGACCTCAAGCACACGCTGCGGTACAAAGCCATGATACAGTGTCGGTCACTCGATGAGAAGGGAGATAAGATGACAAGGAAGACTGCTTGCCAGACCAACCTGTCGCGAGAAGAATATTTGTCAGTGGTAAGTGACTACATCGGTTGCTAGTACTTTGATTCATCCCTCTTGTTCCTCAATTATTCGATTTTGTCTGACTAGGTGACGGAACCCTGGATGAAGGACGTTTGTTGGGAGGCTCTGGTTGACATGTGGTGTGACCCAGCATGGTAGGCGCAACATGTGGAGAAGGGAAACGATCGAGCCAAAATGACATGCCCGGCTCATGTCCAGGGGAGCCGGAACCTAACCGCTCTCAAGCAACACATGGTATGTGGATTAAGATGTTAACTTTTTCGCACGGTGCATCTTGGTTCATTAAAATTGATGGTTAATTTTGCAGGAGGCGAAGGTTGGTCGCCCGGTCCACATCCTGGAAGCCTGGAAAGAAGGCCACAAGGGGAAGGATGGCGCCGAATTCTGCAGCGAGTCGGCGGAGGAGAAGTGGGGGACCTTCAAAGAGGTCTTCCAGGAGGTGCACGGGCACGAAGCCGAACCTACGTCCAAGCCCCTTGATCCTGAGCTTCTCATCATTGCTGGCGAGGGGAAGGGCCATGGCCGCCACCTCCTTTGCAACGGGGCGATCGCTACCTCCTCGCATCGCAAGCTGCACGAGCTACGCGCGTCGAGCACCATCGCAAGCTGCAGGAGGATTGCCGAGAGCAGCTCTCGGCAAAGATATCGTCATTTTTTTCAAGAATATTTAGAAAGTTATTTAAAACTTTTACTGATAAATGTGACTAGTGGGACCACATGTCAGTTAGAAAGAACACACACAAAAAGAAAATAGGATGTTGCATATGCTTTACCGAGTGTCGTGTCGCGGCTCTCGGTAAAGTACGCAGTAACTGACGGAGCCGTCTGTTGCGGACGGGCATGCCGCGTGGCTCCTCTTTGCCGTGAGCGGCCCTCGGCGTTTGTAGGGTTTGTCGTGAGGCAGTGACGGCGAATACGGCAGTTTGTCGTGAAGCTGAGTTTGTCAAGAATGACACTTGGCAAAGTTTGCTTTGCCGAGTGTCTGTGTTTTGGCACTCGGCGAAGAGCATTACATCCGGCGTACGTGAAAATTCCAGTAGTGATGTCAAAAAAATGTTCGGACCGCACGGTCCTCATATTTAACGGCATTTGGGTCCGCGATATTGGAGTTGCCCTTACATCATTCCCCACATCATGACTAGTGATAGCAAGAGATACAGTTTTAAAAAAACATACAAAAAGAAGAAGATGCTACGACAAAGTTATCTGGCCATAGTGTTTCATGTACAATTTCATTAGGAATGCATGTCACAATATTGCGAACGACATTGTACAAATTTAATAACTACTGAAATCAACCCAAATACTATAATTCACTCTCTCTGTTTCCCAAAATTCCTTTGCTTCCTCACCTTGTCCCAATTCGTAAGTCCATATGTCTGTGCCATAGTTATCCTCTATCGTGGTATCTGAGAATCTTGAATTTGGCACGAAGGCCAATTCACCGTCTCGTTGTATAAGGTCAACGAGGACGGTCCTCCGAGGCCAATCATAGAACCTAGGGAGAAATATCTTGTTCTGCATCCACTTGATGTTAGTCTTCTTCATTGCCGTCGACAACGATCCAGTGAATTGGGATCTCCCCTCTAGGTTTTCTATCTTCTCCCACTCCATTGTATGCTCATTGAGCTTGACAACGTTTACCGGCGTCCGACGGTGCCCAACAAGGACAGCCATGAGCTCGTGTTGGTCCGACTCAACCAAGTAGCTGTCTTCGCATTCGAATCCAAAGCTGTTGGGCTTGTCCAGGATTTCAAAGTTTCCATCATGCCTACTCACATCATAGACTGCTAGCCCTCCGTCTTCTTCCAATAGGTACATCAAGCCGTTGTGGAAAGCTGGGTTACAATCTGGCAACGGAGGAAACATTGGGCCGTCTGGATCAAACCACCTGTATTCCCATTCCGCCCACTCGCCCATAATTCTCTCACCTCCCTGATTTTCAAGGGGTGGGCCCCTCAATCTTTTTACATCCAATCTTACTTGTCCACGTTGCCTATTACGTAAGGTACCTAACAATCTTTACGTAAGTGTAGCATTGCCCTTGTTTTTGATGCAACGGGCAATCCGCAGCATACCGAACGGGCTTGTCGACACCAAACATCCTACGATTGCCGTCATAAACGACCTCGTCGAACCTTCCACGTATGATCGGTGGCAACTTGCAGACGTCGCCTGTCAGGAGTTCTGCCGTGAGGACTAGGTTCTTCATGCATAGCGTCAAGTGTTGTCCGGTGGCGCAACAGACCTTGGCGCCTGGCGTGTTCAGCTTGTAGGCGATCTCGAAATTCTTGTGGTAAAAGAGGCTGTAGTACCGCACGTTGCTGGTGCCCACATCGGCGACATTGAGGAGGAGAGGAGTGATCCACGCCGGGTAGAAGGGCGATAGAGCGCGTGCAGATTGCCATCTTCGGCACACCAAGCCGAAACTCGGGTGGCTCGACCACCGCAAATACTCCAGAATCTCCACCAGTATGTCCGCCGGAGGAGACGACTTTTCTTTTTTCAACGTCGCGAGCAACCCACGATGTAATAAGTCTCCATCTCGTGCGTAACTTATGAGCTCTCGTGCGGGCCGGAGGCTAGTTATGGCGAGAGTCCCAGCCCAGCACGACATGTGTCACCGATTTATAATTACAATGCCACGGTTCGTTTTCCTTTTTCTATACACAAGTAGTGACTAAGTTCGAGCTTATATAAAGCAGGAGGCCGAAGCCCTATAGTTTCTTTGAGGGGTCAAAGCCTAGAGTAGTAGAAGCAGAAAAAAGCACACGAGGTGACGAGGAGAGCATGGACGTCAAGGTAAGCAGTGATTCTCTTTTTTTTGGATATATATATATACCTAGATAGGAGTGTGGGGTTTTGGTGACGGAGCACCGTGCAGGCCGGAATCTCGCGCCGCGCAATGCAGCGTCGCGATGTGTGCGTGCCCGTTTCCACGTAGCTATACGGGGATTGCTAAAGTCAAAATACATCGGGGCCTCGCTGCTGTGCTAGCATTGTACGTGGGCTGTGTGTGTAACCGAATTTTTCACGTGTGGTGCTAGGGCCGACCTGGTGTGTCATTAAATGCTATGGATGGCCCGTTACATTTACTTGGAGGTGATGCACGGGTCGTCCCCTTCATCTGGCACACTGGATATTCTAAAAGGGAAAATCTGGCACATTGGACATGAGCGATTTCGTCATCGATGGGATGGAATTCTTCTCCGAGGAGTGCCATTCAGGTAATCATTTGGCAGATATGTCAAAAATTGTGCTTCTTCTAGTTTTGAGATTTGGTTGGGTGTGCGGGGAATATCAACTACTATGATGCAACAAACCCAAAAATGGTTCTTCGTACAAGTTAATGCAGTGCTAGTTAGAAAATACAAATAAAACCGGTGACAAACCTGGTGAGCGCAATTCATTTAAAAATAGAATATGAGCACACAACGTGTTCTTTTAGGTGCTTAAGAAATAAGAAATATTATTTAAAATGAAAAATAGCATAATTTTTGTCTAGCTTCCTCTGGAAAAAAAGTCGCCATAAAATGGTAGAGTGCATCTTATTGAAATGATTAGGAACATTGGGTAACATCTGTGGTTGGCAAAAAATAGTTGAACGGTTTCCATCCTTTGTTAAAGGGCTTGACAATAAATATTATTCCATATGCGTGATTTATCTTCTGCCCATGTGCATATAAGATATGAGGATTTCTTGGAATTTTCACACCTAGAGAATGTCGATTAGTACACTTGAAGTGCCATGGTGGTTGACGTGAGTCGCAATTACGGTATGACATCAAAGAACTAAGGGGGGTGGTGTCTGTTCAATTGGTAACGAAATTATTAGTGCTAGGGGAGCGGTTGTTTTTTTAAAAAATGCTTGTATAAAACGACAAACAATCCGAACGCATTTTTGTTGATAGCGTGTGAAAATTTCATCATAAACTGAATCCGCGCGAGAGTGGCTGTGTTTATGTGTTAAAAAGGAAATTTGTCACCAGAATTTTCTAACAAAAAATTGTGATGCAAAAGTAATTTGGAAAATGCATCTAGACAATTAATGCATTTGGAGGGAAAATGTCATTCCGAGATGTGACAGGTAAAACAATTTGAATTATGCACAATTTCTCTTTTCTTTAAACCCGTCAAGCAAGAAATGATGTTTTCATGACTCGAAAAGAAAGAAAGAAAGAAATGATGTTTTCAGGTGATTTCGTGCACTAAAATGGGCATATTAAGTTGGTGGTTACACAGTGACGATTTGTCCTAGAAATTTGATACACCAGGTTGGACGAAGTGGCGCAGCTCATGGTTTGTTAACTCGCCGGAGGGACCATGCGATGTGATCTTTCCCAGTTCGCTTCCTAGCCAGAGTACTATTTGAAGCATAGCTGCTGATATTGTTTTCTCTTAGCTGCTTCACCAAGTATCTGGTATACCTATCTATGTACCGGTGCGACTTCCAGTGCAGCTTCTCCATGCGGTTAACCGATGGTGCATGGTTGTGCTCTGTTTTGTGTTCACATATGTACCACCCCTTATAATCTGATCTAAGCACTTGCATCAATGCGCCGCATCCACACCTTGTCGAGCGGCTTTTTGATTGCAACGGCTTGCCCTCACACTGATAGTACCTTTTTTCAACTGTTTAGCGAATCTCAGAATCCGTAGTATCGTTTGTTGTCAGAAGAATTTAGTTGGACATGATCTGTTTCCAAATGTGAAATCTCTTGTTTGGTCCTGTATTTGTGTTGCTTTTGCTTGGTG